GCCTTGCACTACCTGGAAAGGAAGAAGTGTAAGCTTACCCGAGGAGTCCTGAGCGGCGGAAGAGGAACGGCGTCGACTCGGCAGCTACCCGCCAATCCGGTGCGCATTCGGGGGTAGGCTGGCTGATAGACCCGTCTCCTGAAGATCCGAAGATGGCGAAAATCGGAAGGCTTTCGGAATTCGACGTCTCACATCCAGAGCGGTGGGAGTCCTACGTATCCAGAATGGAGAACTACTTCAAGGCAAACCAAGTGAGGGAAGATAGCTTGAAGGCCGCCACCCTGCTTTGCGTTTGCGGCCAAGACGCCTTCGAAATCGCAGAAAATCTTGTAGCACCTGTTCCAGTAGAGTCTGTAAGCTACGCAGACCTGAAGAAGCTGCTGAAAGAGCACTTCCACCCCCAGGTGTCCGTTATCTCATGGCGCCACACCTTCGAGCAGAGAGATCAACGGTCCGGTGAAACAGCCAAGGAATACATCGCCGCGCTACGGAAGGCCGCCAAGCCCTGCGAGTTCAAGGACCTCGAGGAACGACTGAGGGACCGATTCGTGTGCGGGCTAAGGCATCGAGAGCTACAACGGAGACTTTTTGCCAAGGAAGAATTATCCTTCCAAGACGCCTTAAGAGAAGTCACCGCAGAAGAAGCAGCAGGCGGCGCCATCAAAAACATGCGGCCGATCAGAAACAGTGCAGAGGGTGCGTCCGTGCACCAGGAAGACGTCCGACGAAACTCCGAGGAGGATCCGGACGAGGAAGTCGACCGTCTACACCCCGCGAAGGAAGAGAACCAGAAGGGAAGCTCTTCGGCTCCGCTCAAGTGCATCGGCTGTGGAGGTCGCCACAGGAGAACCGACTGCAAGTTCCGCTCCGCTACCTGCCGGGCATGCGGCAAACAAGGGCATATTGCAGCTGTGTGTCTGAGCCGACGAAAGGCACAACCCCAAGAAGAACGCCTGAAAGGTACCAGATTCCCCAGCCAGAATAGGGTAGGGTTTTGCGCTTCGCGAAGAAGCATCTGTAGAACAGGCACACACAAGCCCATGAAGAAAAAGCTGTCACTCAACGTGAAGCTACAAGGGGTTCCATTATCTATGGAACTAGACACAGGGTCTGCCCTGTCCATCATTTCATTGCATACATTTAGGAAGATTTGTTCCAGTAGTGGGTCTAAGGCCAAGTTAAGGCCTTCTGATATTGTATTAACAGATTTTCAGAACTCAAGAGTGTGTGTTAAGGGGGAGGCCACCCTTAACGTGCAATACAAGAGTTTTGAAGGTCCACTAGACTTATTAGTAGTAGGGGGTGAACGAACGAGTCTCATAGGACTCGATTGGTTTGAGGCCCTGGGGATACACGTCACAGGACTCAACAGCTTACAAACACTCGACCTACAGGAAGTCTGCAAAGAATTTGCAGATGTTTTCAGCCCCCAGCTGGGCACATTCAAAGGACCACCTGTGTCCTTAAAGCTAGACCCCACTGTCACTCCCATTAGGATTAAAGCAAGAAGGGTCCCTTTTGCTTTAAAAAGTAAGATTGACACTGAACTAGACAAACTAATCCAACAGGGAATCCTAGAACCTGTTGATTCCAGCCCGTGGGAGACCCCCATTGTCACGCCTCTAAAGGCAAATGGGGACATTCGCATTTGTGCTGATTACAAATGCACACTCAATAAGGCATTGCAGCAACATGCCTATCCTGTTCCTGTGGTCAGTCACATCCTGGCCTCTCTCAAGGGGGGGCGTGTTTTTGCAAAGCTTGACCTAGCTCAAGCATATCAACAGCTGCCTGTTGATGATGATGCTGCCATAGCTCAGACCATTGTGACCCACAGGGGAGCCTTTAAAGTAAAAAGGCTACAGTTTGGAGTAAATGTCGCTCCTGGGATTTTCCAAAGCGTAATGGAAAACACACTACGAGGTATACCAGGGGTCTGCCCCTACTTTGACGATGTCTTGATTGCAGGAGACTCCACACACATTCTAGCTGAAAGACTTAGGGCTGTCCTGTTAAGATTCAGGGAATCAGGCCTCAAGCTCAGAAAAGACAAATGCAAGATCGGGGTGCCTTCTACTGAATTTCTGGGATTCAAAATTGATGCTGCTGGGATTCATCCTGCTGAATCCAAACTAACTGCTATTTTAGAAGCACCCAGGCCAAAGTCTAAGGCCGAACTTCAGGCCTTCCTAGGCCTCCTGAATTTCTACAATTCTTTTCTTCCACATAAAGCTAGTGTAGCTGAGCCTCTTCACAGGCTACTAGACAAACAAGCTGTGTGGCTGTGGTCACAAGCACATGAGGCTTGCTTTAAAGAAGTCAAGGCCTTGCTCACTTCTAACAGTGTTCTTGCACATTTCAACGAGTCTCTTCCTGTGTGCATCGCTTGTGATGCATCCCCCTACGGGGTTGGAGCTGTCCTGAGTCACCTCAGGTCTGATGGAACTCAGGTTCCTATTGCATACTACTCCAGAACACTGTCTTCTGCCGAGCGCAACTACGCTCAGATAGACAGGGAGGCTCTGGCTGTTGTTGCTGGAATTAAAAAATTCCACGATTTTCTATATGGCAGGCATTTCACGGTCTTCACTGACCATAAGCCTCTGCTGGGACTGTTTACCACACGTAAGCAGACTCCCCACATCATTTCCCCTAGAATGCTTAGGTGGTCTATTTTTTTGTCTGCATATGATTTTTCATTACTCCACAAGCCTGGGAAAGAAATGGGCCATGCTGATGGCCTCAGTAGATTGCCTCTGCCAGTAGTAGAAGCTGACCCCGCGCCAGCTGTCAACATTCTATCAATCCAAGCCTTGCCCGAGCTCCCTCTTAGTGCCAGGGATGTTGCCGCTGAAACAGGTACAGATCACACACTTTCACGTGTCCGCTCCTGGGTCCTGTCCGGGTGGCCTGAGCACTGCCCTAGTCCTGAGTTTCAGAGTTTCTGGTCCAAAAGGAACGAACTGTCCCTTTCTCAGGGTTGTCTGCTTTGGGGAAACAGAGTTGTCATTCCCACCTCAATGAGGACTAGGGTCTTAGAATCCCTCCACGAGGGTCATCCTGGCATTGTTCGTATGAAGGCTCTTGCACGAAGCCACTTGTGGTGGCCTGGTTTAGATAAAGATATTGAAGCTAAGGTACACGCATGCCACCTGTGCCAACGATCTCGCCCAGAGATGCCCCAAGCTCCTGTGCATAGATGGGAGGAAACACAGTCCCCATGGTCTAGGGTGCACATTGACTACGCTGGGCCCTTTCAGGGCCAGTTCTTCTTGGTCCTTGTTGACAGCCATTCAAAATGGCTTGAGGTTGTGCCTGTCTCATCCACCACCACTGCAAAGACTATTCAGGTACTGAGGGGGATTTTTGCTGCACACGGGCTGCCAGATGTCATCATTGTGTCCGACAACGGCCCTCAATTCACCTCCTCCGAATTCCAAGCTTTCTTACAGGCAAACCTGATTCGTCATGCCACGTCTGCGCCTTTTCACCCGTCCACCAACGGTATGGCTGAACGCATGGTGCGCATCGCAAAGGACGCCTTGAAGAGACTCACCTACGGGGACTGGCATCACAGGTTGGCTGACTTTCTCCTTTCTTATCGCACCACACCGTCCACTTCTACAGGGAGAAGTCCAGCTGAACTTCGTTGGGGGCGCCAACTTACTACTAGACTTGACCGGTTGCATCCGGACAGACTGCCTTCATCTACCTCACATCCTAGGGCACCTAGACAACTACTTGTGGGTGCCCCGGTTTGGGCTCGCAATTACGGGCCTGGTCATACATGGGTCCCCGCTTCTGTGTCCAGGGTCACAGGTCCTCTCTCCTACGAGGTTGCCCTGGACAACGGTCGTGTCCTGCGTCGGCACATCGACCAACTCCGCCCTAGGCGGGACTTTTCAGATGAGACTCCTGGGTCTTTTCCGGGGGGGAGGGGGACCCTTTGGAGCAAAGGGAAGGGCACGAGCTGCTGCCCATCTCCACTGAGGGAGCCACAAACGGCCCATCCCAGGGTTCCGCGAGAGCTCCGAACAGGAATTCCATGAGCTTACCTAACTACCAGGCATCCACGCCTACTCCAGCCAGGGAGTCACCCCGGGGGCATACTCACGTTCCACACACGTCACACAGCACTCCAGTCACGGAGGATACCCGGGGGCATCCCAACAAATCATTCCCCGCAAGAGAGCTGGCACACAATCCCCAAGGTTGGCCTGACCTTACCCCAAATCCTACAGGGGGTCAAACATACACAGAGTTAGTCGAGGAACCAAGTCCCGACTACAACAACCCTAGCACAAATCAGGGAACACCTGAGTTTTGGGAAAGTACAGAAACCCACACGAGCCCGAACACAGAATGGGGTTCAGGGAATGGACAGCCTCCTGACAGGTCTTGGACTGACCTAGGAGGTTCTACAGAGACGCCCAGCAGCGGCTATCACTTCAAGGGGCCTGAGGGTCTACAGCTAGGTAGGTCAACCAGGTCACAAAGTAACAGAAGCCCTGGCCTGACGAGCCCGGTGGGCAAGCAAGCAGGCCAGGCATCGGGGCACAGTCCTTGGAAGACACCAGGACACAATAGAGAGAACAGGCTCACGCCTCCCTCCAGTCAGGGGACTTATGCCAGTAATCCACAGCTAAGAAGGTCACAGAGAGCAAAGAAATCTCCCAAGTACCTAGAAGACTACATAACATTGCTGGCAAGGCAAAGGCCAGTAAACAGTGGGAGCACTGGGGAACAAAATGTCATATAAAATAAATGTTGTATGTTGGTAGTAGTTTTAGCCCGGGGGAAAGGGGTGTTATGTCCCGAGCCTTTGCAAACGGCTCGGGCGTTTGCAGGCAGTCCCGGGCAGGTGCAAAGCTGCCCGGGACCAGACAGGCTGTCGCCAGCGCCGTGCGCATGCGCGGGTGCTGGCGCGGGAAAAGTAACCCATTTACCCGGGAGTTGCCTATATAAGAGGCTGCGAGGCGTTTGGGCGAGGCTGAAGCCATCTTCCTGTAAGCTGAACGCTGAATAAAAGAAACTGAGAACTCCAGCTGCTTCTCGTGTCTGTTTTCCCGCCAAGGACGCAACAATAACAATGAAAGGCTCAAATGCAGTGTATCACAATGAAAACAGAAGCCTTGATGCTAAGAAAGGGCGCTTTGCTTTGTTTGTGCACTTTTGGGAGAGAAAGAATTAGAATCTACTCAATTATTAAAAAAAGGTGTAATAGTGCCTGTCTCCATTTGACAGTGCAAGATTATGCCTGAGTAGACAAACACTGATAAAACCTACTAACCTCAGTGATCACAAGTGGGCATTGTTTCATCTTTATACTTCAGTGTCATTGCCTATTGAACACCTCACTTCCGATTCAAGTTCCTAACTACCCTACAATTTTTCAAGCGCTTACATCACAAAGGGTTGTAAACATAATGCCAAACATATATCCCATTCAGTGAAATAGAGAAAGTAATAAATCTTGGTTGTCAAAAAATGAAGACCAGATTCAACAGCTATTAAACTGAAAGTTTGTAGAGGCAGCTTGAAAAGAGAAGCAGAAGAGTTGCTTAATCAGAATATACCCTTCCTTCTTTTTGCAAGCTGCTTCTTTCTCCCTCTTTGTTTCTCCTGCAGTTGCAACCACTGGTGGAAGTTGCTGCAGTTCTTATGTGCCTCTTGGTTAGTCAGTCTTAGAAGGATTTCTCTGCCTCGGCCTGGCATAACAAAGAATCTACATGCCATTCAAAAAAAAAAAAAAAAAAAGGTCTTCATTACTGGTTCTCCTCTCTCCTCCCTTTCTAACACCACTCCCTTTTAACACAAGCCAATAAGATTGCTTCTAGGCCCACTAGGCTTTCCCTGTCAGTATTCACGGGCTGCTTGTAAATAGCAGAAGGAAGGAAGTGTTTGCATAGATTGAGCTTGGCTGAGAGATTCAAGTAGCAGGAAGGAGTGATGCTGCTCAGTATAAACCAGAGAATATGGAAACGGGGTAAGAGCTGCTTTTTTGGCATTTTCATTTGGGATTACAGAAGGGAAGGGGAAGGCTTCTACCTGAATCTCATTAACGATGGAGCTATACAGGAGTCGCCTAACCACAGGATGCAGACTCACTAACGGAATCTCTGACTCCAAGGACAGCAGGCAGAAATGGCTCTGACTTTTCTGGGCAATAAAGTTATCAAAATTGCAGTTTCAAATGGATGTAGAGATAAGTTATCTGAGAAAGAAACAGCTTGGAGGCACATCCTTAAACATTCTCAACGATCCTGAAGCAGAATTCAAAGAGATTTGGCTCAAGGGCATATTTATTTTTACCTTTACAGATGCACTGTGCCACTGAAATTATCTGGGGCAAAAACTGAACACAGAGGCTTGCTAAACTGGTACCAAGCCTTAACGTGGCGTGCTGAACAGTAGTTGCATGACTTTTTCACCTGGCTGTCGTCGTGTTTTTTTTTTCCTGCAATGTGCACAAATCAGTTTAGAGGACTTTTTAAATCTCTAAAAGGGGCCCATCTGATTTCAGCAATCCTTTCAACTGTTCACATCGCCGTGTTCCACGAAAGACCATGCTCAGTGTGAGTTTTATTTTGGCAGTCTGGATTGATCTTGCTGGCAGGAAAGAGTGGATTTCCATCATTTCATAATGAGTGTGCTGACATTAACTCTATTTATTTGTAAACTCCTGGGGAAGCTGTTGGTACTGTTCGACCTGGGTGCTCAAGTTAGCAGCTTAAGCAATGCTTCCATTTTCACAAGATGCCCTGAAGTTTGCATCTGTACTGCTGATCTCCTGAGTTGTACCAGGAAAAACCTCCGGCATATCCCTGTTCCACTGCCTCCTACAACTATCACCTTGGATCTCAGCCACAATGCTATTGTTCATCTTCACGATTATTGCCTGACTACTTTACCACATCTTGAAACCTTAAGGATTAGCCACAACAAAATAAAAAACATCACCCAACATGTGTTTCGCAATGCTACTTACCTTCTGTACCTGGATATGTCCTCCAACCATCTGCAGACTGTGGAAAAATACTACTTTGAAGACCTTGTGAACTTGAAAGAGCTTCTCCTTTACAATAACAAAATAGTGGAAGTAGATGAAAAAGCTTTCATGACATTAATCAATTTGCAAAAGATCTATCTAAGTTGGAATAGGCTAACAAAATTTCCATTTGAGTCTATTCAAACACTTCAACATCCTTATCTAAGGACGCTTGATCTTTCTGCCAACAACCTAAGCAGCATTCCTATTCAAGTAATAGCAAGTTTGCCTACGTATATTAAAAATGGCTTATATTTTCACAACAACCCTGTGAATTGTGACTGCTCTCTCCAGGAGATGCTCCAGGAATGGAAACATCGCGGTTTCAGTTCTGTGCAGGATTTCATAGAGGAGCACACTTGTAAAGCCTATCCCAATATGCTCTCCTTAATTAAGACTTTCAATTACAATAAATATTTTCAAATTTGTTCTTGGAACCAAAGAAAATTTGACATTCCAGAAGTGCTGTGCAGAGTGGGAGAATCCTTGGTAATAGACTGCAACACAAGCCTCCCTGAAGACAATACCACCACTTACAGGTGGATCTCCCCACGCCATGAATTATTCATGTATCCCGAGCACAGTGATCAGACACATCAGCCTTTAAAAAATGGAAGCTTAAAGATCATAAATGTCAACCGTTCATTCTCAGGCGTTTATGAGTGCATAGCAATCAGTGATCTCCAAAAGATCAATGAAACATACGAAGTTAACGTGACAGTCCACAACTCCAAATTAGTGGAATCTTTCAGTACTAGCCTCACAACCCTTCTAGGGTGTATTGTAAGCTTGGTATTAGTGCTGATGTACCTGTACCTTACACCATGTTGTTGCTCTAAGTGCTGCAGGAAGCCTACAAGTCCTCCTCAAGACTGCAGTGCCCAATCATCTATTCTTAGTACCACTCCATCGGTCACAGATGTAACAAATCGCAAGATCAGTGCAAACAAGCATGTTGTTTTTCTAGAGCCTATCAAGGAGAATCACAATGGCAAGGTCAAGCTGGCTGTCACTGAAGACTTTGATGTGAACCCCCCCAAGCTCCTAAGACTTAAACTGGACTCAGAATCAATCAATACAGCTTTTTCTAATCCCGTCATGTCACCAGCAGATGCATAGCAAACCAACTGCAGAAAGCCTTTCTTAGTGGATGGCTGGAATGGAAAACAAAATCCTGTTTCCATTCTGGGAGGAAGTGAGAAGACAAGATATATTCATGAAGGATTTCCTCACCACAATCTATATTTTTAAAAATGTTTCTTGGATGGAGGATGCTGAATCTTACTTCTTACATTATCTCCCCCCACTAATTCCCATCCAATTGCTCCAGCTCTCTTAGGCATGGAAATGAAAAGCAGCTCCTTTTAAGCAAGGAAAGGAATAATTGTTCTCTGCACATCCCAGATGATTGCCGCATGCTTCATTCTCAAGATAATACAATGTTCTAGAAGGTTATCTTCTCCCATTAGAAAACTGCTGTGGAATATAAACTTGTGTTGTGGCTTTGACTTTTAGAGAACAAAGTTTTTACTATATAACAAGGCTGTTTTCATCTTTGCAGAAGACCAAGTGCCTCATATAGCCACATAGAGACCCTTTCTTACTTGCTCCGAAACTGCTCTAACTAGACACTGCTTCAAACCTCAAACATTTGTGAAAATAAATTCTTGAATCCACTCTTTCTACCATCTGCACTGCTTAAAAGAAGTTAGCATAAAAACAAGCCGAAGCAACCTTCCTTTTAGAAAAGAAACAAGCACTGCCCCAGATGACCATACTTGGATATGTGCAGTTAGCCCAGTAAGTAGAATTGATTGCATGCCTAGCCCTAGACTATTTTAATAAATAGCTTTATTTCACTGGAGCTAAATATGCTGGCTGAGATTTAAAAGTTCCATGTTCTAAATGTCTCTTTTAATTAGTAATCTGTTTATTAATGCAACCAGGAGTATCAAGGCTATGATAAACAGTTTGGATATATGTTTTTTAATCATTTCAGTGGCAAACAAAAATCCATCCCTGAAAATAATATTTCATTTACACTTAAAGGGCAAGCATTCTCCTTGGAATTAGAGATACAAGAGAATTATACTCAAAGTTAAAAAGGGCACTATTTTAGAGAAAGTGCTGATGTTCTTTATTTTCTTTTGTGTACAATTGAGATTACAATTGACACAAATATTGCCCCCGAATGCATGCATTTTTACATGAGGTAAGGAATAGATATCTTGCACTGCCACTCAAAAGTAGAATGTCCTTTTCATTCATCTGTTGCCATTGAACAGTCATAAAAGATGCATTTGATCTTAGAATAATACCTAGGACCCATCTGTGCCACGCTCAAGCTTATCATGTAATGCAAGACTTGAATGAACAAACCTTCCAGCTTATTTCTCCTTCAGAAAGGCAGGTATGCTTGAGAAAGTACTATTTTGGTAGTATTTGTAATCCATAATAAGAAAAGGATGGCAGACTAAAAGTCCTCTCAAGTTGCATTTAAATGAAAGTGTTTTTAAAAATAAACATTTGCATTTGAAAGTGTCTTTATATCGTTACATTGTGGGACATAGCTGGCTTTATATATATTAGCTGGTCATCTGACAAAGTAAAACTCTGTGCACAATCTGATCTTGATTATCTAAAAAAAAATATAAATCACAGATTAAAACAACCAGTGAATTCTTCTAAAGTCAGTATAAATTTGAAGGTATCTTCTGGCCAGCAACTAGTTTATTTTGAGACAGTTATTAGAAAAATCAGGGGAGTTAATGCCTCAAATCCCATTCCAAAAGTGGTCAGCAAGCATTTTTGTTGACATAGACCAGGGGTAGGCAACCTTGGCTCTTTTATGACTCGTGAACTTCAACTCCCAGAATTCCTGAGCCAGAATTCCTACCCCTGACATAGACATTACTTCCAAATTTAAATCAGCTGTTATTTTTCAGGAGAACAAGTCTAAACCTCAGACTTCGTTTCTAATTCCTCCCTTATGATATTGTATATTTTTTATAATTTGTTTTGTATTTTAAAGCCTTAAAATTGTTAATGTTTATTAATCAAAATCCTTAATTATGTTTTTCTATCTTTTTTTTTTAAATCCAGTAGTGAATCTTATGTATATTCCTGGCTACGGAAATCTGCATTAATAACAATTTATGCCTGGAAAGTACCTGAACTTGGACTGTCTAAAGCCTCTAGAGGAAAGCCTTTTCAATGTCGTGATTTCTAAGGACACTTATAACAGAGCCTTCAAGATTCAAGCTTGAACTGTAGAGAAAACCACCACCAAAACTGCTTTCAGTCAACACAAGTCTTTGCAAGGGGAAGCAATAAACTTACACCAGGTCCTATCTATGGGTTTCTGCAGGGAAAGCAAGAGAGGGGCAAATGATAACAGATATGAGGGGTCCTTGGAGCTCTCTGAGCTAGGTTCGTTTTTTTTTTGTAGATGTTTCATTATCCAAACTAGGTAACATCATCAGTGTAGTAAGGAATGGGATTTGCTCTCAGTCTATATTCCAGTGGCTCACCTTGTCAGGGCTGTTGGGGTTGATCTTGGTGGTTCTTTGGTTGGGCTGTTTGCTTGTTTGGGGGTCCCTTGATTGGGGCATTGTTTACTTCTTGACTGTTAGTCTGATGTTAATCCCAGTGTCAATCTATGCTCATCAGGATGTTGATTGCTCGTGGGGAGGTATTTTGGTCTTTTTGTTCCCTTTCTAGCTTGTTCATTGTCTCTTTTGCACAGTATATAGATGCTGTTTATGTCTATGTATCTATTCATGGCCAATTTGTCAGAGTGCCAAGGCTTCCAGAAATTCTGTACCATTTTTGGACTTGGCTTGAATGGTTTCCCAGTTGAAACTATGGTTAAGTCTGTCCATATGTTATGAAATTAAAGAGTTATCATCATGTCTTCTGATGATGTTACCTAGTTTGAGTAATGACATGTCTGCAAGAAAATGACCAACTCAGAGAGCACCAAGGACCCCTCATTTCAACCCTAAGCTGCAAGTATTCTCTTTATTGATAACATACACGTCATCATTTGTGATAGCACAATTTGTGTCAGGCATTCTGATGCAAACATATACTTTCAGCATGTATATGATTACATCATTACACATGTGTCATCATTTTGGCATCATAGTTTACTGTGTACACTGCTGGCATTACTGACTTGGATATGTGTAGACATATATTAACCCTTAATCAAAAAGGGGGGAGCTGAGCAGCTGACATCAAAGTTCCCAGATAAAGCACACTGTTTATTGGTATAGTCTTCTCCTGGAAATGGGGTACATGTGTCCTCCTTTCAAGAAAGAAAGTACAACACTCCATTTCTTGATTAAGCAGCACTACAGAGAATTGTCAAGATCTTTTTGAATTAGAATAGCCAAGGTCTGTGGTTGTGTGTATTAAAGGATCCTTCTGCAAGGGTACCAGAAACAAGATAAAAGGTTGTAAAATTTTTGTTTATATTTTATTCTGTGTACTTATGGCTATAGTGCATTGTGGAATTTGAAGCTGAAATTTATTTCTTAAAATGTCCATCCTTTATATATGAAAAAACAAAATGTATTTGCTAAAGGATCAAAAACCAGGAAGCATAGGTGATCTAAAGTACAGAATTTCTATTGCATTTCCAAATATTTATTATTTTGCAGGCCCTGAGTCATTGCCAAATTATTCAAAATAAAATAATTGTTTCCAAAACTTAAAAAATAATTATTTTCAGAATTTATTTTGAGAGTAAAGCACACATTGCTTCTGCAAAATGAATGCCATTCTGATTATAAAACAGAAATCACTCTCCAAAACATGTAATCAGGGAAGAGGGGATGTCTTGAAATTTTGTTTACCTTTCTTCCATGTATATAGTTCTATAATGGAAAAGAGAGACCTATCAGCTTTCAGGTCTTGCTGAGCAATAATTTGCAGGATCCCTCAACATTAGTGATGCTAGCTGGAGGCACTGGTCTAGTTAATCTGTAATATCTGGAGGATCACAGATTCCTTTTTCCCTGTTCCAATTGTACTCTAGATATATTAAATATTCCCAGAAGGGGCTTTCAATTTTATATCTACTTTATTTATTTAACAAATATATACAGTCAGCCTACCTACAATGGGACTTTCTTGGTGATAACAATGCATAACGAAATCAATAAAAAGAATGAAGTTGACTGGCAGTAACACCTTATTGAACATCCCACACATCCTCCATTAACATCACATCTAGTACCTGCCAGAAAAGCGAGATCTTCATGTCCTTTTGCAAATATATGATGTTCTGCCTAGCTCGTGTAATTATTCAAACTCTTGGCAAAGTGCAGGATTATGCAGAAGATTTGTCCAATTTCTATTTCAGCCATGTGTTACTGAACCTATACAGCCACAATGCTTGATTTTATCTAGCTTTGAGTTACCTGCCTAATCTAGCTTTGAGAACAAAGCATTGTCAAAGTTCATTGTGATTTTTAGACTATATAGTAAGCATTAAAATATCAGGCCTGGGCCAGCTAATCACAACAGACTATATTTTATTCAATTCTTAACTCTCCAAACAACTTTAATTTCATGCTTACACTTAATTCTCACTATTGATATGACACAGTTTTGCTGTCAGTTATTTCAAAGTGTTTGCTAATTGATGGAATTCATTTATGAGATGGATGATTGAATTTTAATGCCCATGAGATGCTATGGCAAGAAAATAATTATACCACTAAAAGGAATTTATCCTTAGAATTCACTGACTATATCCAAGTCAAAGATACATTCCCTGGAAAAGAAAGTTTAGCAACACAAACTTTAGTGGGCTAGCTAGGGATTGCTATTATATTCAGGGAAAATTAAAACTGCAAAGTATTATTACTTAGTTATTTTTTGAAAAAGACTATTGGGTTGAAACTGAAAAAATAAAGTAATACCCTCCTCAGGACTTGCAAGGATTTTACATTTTTTTATTAAAAAGAAATAACTTTCCCAAAGAGATTGTGCCTCTTAGGAGAAAAAGAAACACTGCAGTTTCTCCCCTGCTATTTATTTTGTTTTCTTTAAAACACATGCAAACTCAGTGGGTCAAGCCCTCCTTCTAGGATCCAGAATTATATCTTATTGTGTTTTTATCTTAATTCCTGCTTCTTGAGTCCAGTGATTATCACACAATTTATAGATAGATAGACAGAGAGACAGAGAGATAGATAGATAGACAGACAGACAGACAGATAGATATAGATAGATAGAAAGGAAAACATGATCAGAGAAGCAAATTTTATATATATATATATATATATATATATATATATATATATATATATATATATATATATATATATATATATATATATATATATACACACACACACACACAGACACAGAGTACCTAATTTTTAAATGCATTATTAAACCCTGACCATAGTTAAAAATGTCATTCATTCATTCATTCATTCATTTCTATGGCCACTCATCTCAGTCAATGAATCTGGGCAGTCATACAATTAAAAAAACGTATTACAATTAAAACACTAAAATATTTTAAAACAATAAAAAATAATAAAAGCATCCAAAATAAATATACATAGCAGCTGAGATACTTGGTCAGTCAGCAATACAGGCAAGAAATGTGGCCCTTAACACACTGACCAGTCTTTGCCATTATGCTGACAGAGAGACAGTTTGTAAGGAAAAAGCAAACATACCCTTGCAATCCAAGACTGCAAATGTGAGGTAATGTTGTCTTTCCCAGATTGAAAAATAGTATTTTTGTTACCTCCCATGTTCAAGAAATCCATAACTTTATGGTTATAAATTCCAGAGTCTGGGTATATAATTCGAAGTATATTCACATCTTTAAACTATACTGATTCTGTAATGAACTGATGGATTTGTAACAATGAAAATGGGGCAAGAATGGGACAGGACTATTTCATATTCATATCTGTCTCATCATCAGCCAACATTTCAGATGTAATTGGACAAAAATTAAAACTTTTAAAATACATTCTCTCAGCAGAGCAAAAAACATGAAAATAACCATTTTTCCTGAATTAATTTTATTTTTTATTTCATTAAATACATTTTAAGATTTTTTAGCTATTAATTTCTTAACATTGGACATTCCAATTATGTAACAGTTCTTGCAACTAGTTAATGTCCACTTTGATAATGCTATTTAATTGTTCGTAAAAATACTGCAGATTTGGAATAAATAAAGATACATCTCAACGCCAACAGATGCTCAGGAGCTTTAATCATGATTAATAATATATCAGAACCAAACTCTGAAATCAAGAGGTGTTTTAATAAAATATACTGCTGTTTTCACAATTTTAGACAATCCAAATTTCTCTTGCATAAATTATTTTTTAAAAACGGACCGATAAGCTAATGTTAAATATTGTCCATGAATTCAAGTAAATAAATAAATAAGATTGGACAACCATTGGTATGAAATAGTATAGGGTTTCCTGCTTGAGTATGGGGTTGGACTAGAACACCTCCAAGGTCCCTTCTAACTCTGTTATTGTTATTCTGACCTACCCATAACTTATGAAACTGATGGTCAGAGGGAAGATCTGCTACCAAGGCGACAATCAGATAAATGAGACGTGAGCCTGGGCCAAGAAAGTGGTTTATGAAAATGCCTCAGATAGCCCCCTCCCCAATTCTCATGAAGATAAAAAAAGGAAGTACATTCAGGCCTGCAAGATTCTGTTAGTACAGCTGTTCTAATAAAAGTGGCTTTCTTACTCTGATCTGATTTATAGGTTTATTGTGATTTTTTTTAACTCATGACATTCATTTCACAGATAAATTGAAGTAAAAATTTGCATCCAACGATAAAACTGGAGGTCAGGAAAATTAAAATCTCAATTATCACATGACAGCTGTTATTTAGATAAAGAAAGTTTGTTCTGCTCATAAAAAAATTAGTATCAATTCTTAAAATAAGATATTAGCATATATGCATTTTTATAACTATCTATCTATCTTTCCTTATACATTCAGGATTTTAACCATCTATTTCTGTTTATCTGAAAATTTAAAAGGTAATACACTTACATCCACGTGAAAGTATCTTTTAAATAACTATTCCCAGATATTTCAAAGAATACAAACAATTAAAAAAAAATCCCACTACTATACTGCTGGGGAAGCAATGGCAATGGAGCCAATAACTGTGGTGGTGAATGGACTGGTTTCTCAGAATTCCTCTCTGGAAAAGGAAATGACTTGGACAATAGTCTCCTGCAGATTTCGTGCTCTGGAAGCTGAGGGATCCCCATTTGCCAAGCTGCAATACAGTACCCTTCAAAAGGATACTGGGTTAAAATACTTCCTTTCTTGGCCCTGTTGGAAGTTACTTATTAACTGCTGTTTGTATATTAAGAAACTTCAGAACAACAAATTTCAGGTGAGTCCCCTTTAATCATTGTTAAAGAAGTTTTATGCAAGTTTAAGAACTGAAATTATTTTGAAATAAACAGAAAAAGGATAATTAGAACATTGATTTTGGAAAGTTATAAATGAACTAAGGTACAAGATGGATTTAAAATAAGATTTTGAAACTAGTTACAAGAATCCTTCCTGTGGGAAAATACTGTTGTTTGAAATTTTATTTTTAAAAAATATAAAGCTTTTCCCATGGGAAAATACTGATGACCAGGAAAAAAAAAAACCACAGGAGATTTAAGATCAAAACTATAAAAGCAAAGGAATATAAAGTCGTTTTATCTAATCAAGGTTAAAACATATATGCTATTATTTCTGATAACTCTTATGGATTTTTGCCAATCAGGACCAAATGATGAAACTTTAAAGATTTGTTTATAGACAAGAGACAAATAAAAGGAAGAAGAGATCTTTTGTTTTATTTTTAGACAAAGTAATATTGACTACATTAAAAGTAATATTATAGTTAGTTTACCTTATTAAGGTTAAACTATATATGTTGTTATTCTTAATGGACTTTTGCTGATTAGGATTAAATAATGAAGTTTTAAAAATTGGGTTATAGATAAAGATGATATATGCAAAGAGAGCTTTTGCTGTAGTATGGAAGAAGGTGATAAATTACTGAAATTGTACTAGTCATGATGAAGGGGAAAGACCTCTTTTTATATATAATTTTATTTCTCTTACTATATATAGTACACTTCATTCATTTTTTTCTTTTCTTTTTTATTAGTTTCTATTAGTTTTTTTAATCTTTGTTAAGTGTAAATTTTAATAAAATTATTTAAAAAAACTTCCAAATACTATGAGTGTCTACAGAAACATAGAATCTTAAGTATAAAAGACTTTGATTAATTGAATAACTTGATGATTACTTTTGCACAAAAACATTACTTTTGATAAAATAAATATGTCATTTAAGTGAGATGGGCAGCTTATAACTTTAATAAATTAATAAATCAGTGGTTCTCAACCTGTGGATCGGGACCCCATTTAGGGTCGAATGACCATTTCACGGGGGTCGCCAAACAAAGCTGTCCGCCATTTTTTCCCCCTTTTCTTTGGCCACGCCCCTGGCACCCGGTGATGTATAAGTGGTTGGGGGTCACCACAACATGGGGAACTGTATTATGGGGTCGCAGCATTAGAAAGGTTGAGAACCACTGTAATAAATGAATAAATATCAATGACATCAGCATATAACAATAGCCTGCATTCATCTATTCCTACTGGTATGCTCCACCTGTTTTCCATTTATATTAAAGCAGGCCAATGGTATCAATATCAAATTAAAAAACATAAAAGGACTCCTTGATGATTCCAGAAGACATGTTGATAGGTAAAATATTGTTCCACTTATAATAATCTAGCAAAAGGAGTTAATACTATTATCTTGGCCCAATTAATTTTAAAAAAGAGAGAATCAATATAAAGACAAGACATATTTCCAAAATTTCCATTTTACCTACAGAAAATGACCTTGAAAGAAAACTACATGGCAACAATTAGAGAAACATGCATTAAGCTCAGGAAATGAAGTCATTTAGAGAGTCAAGTTGACTACCCCTTAAGTCCTGGATTTAAGAGGGAGGAGAGGGGAAACATAGATTAGCTTTCAAGATTCTATTACTGTATCCTATATATTAATACAGTTCCAGAATCTTTTATGAAGAGTCTTTTACTGACCTATATCAAAGCACTCACATCACCATATAAAAGGCATCTT